GCTGAATAAATGGATAAATAAATGAACAAATGAAAGAAAGAGAAAGAACTGCTGACTTTGGTTGGGTGGTTTGAAGTTTCTTGGGGTTCAAAAGTAGGAATGGGGGCTGGTCTCAGTAGCTCATGCCTATAACCCTAGCATTCTGGAAGGCTGAGACTGGTGGATTGCTTGACCTCAGGAGTTCTATACTAACCTGAGCAAGACCAAGACCCCCTTTCTACTACAAATTGAAAAAACCAGCTGGGCACTGTGGCAGGTACCTGTTGTCCCAGCGACTTGAGAAGCTAAGGCAAGAGAATTGCTTGAGGCCAAAAGTTTGAGGTTGCTGTGAGCTATGATGCCACAGTACTCCTCTGAGGATGACAGAATGAGACTCTGTCTAAATAAACAAACAAACAAACTTTCTCCCTAATCACCAGCAAGGACACAGGATAGCAGAGCAGAGGCAGCAAAGCACTATCAGAAGTCACAGCAGAGCTGCAGCCTCATAAGAGGAGACCAAAGTACCCAAGTGCCAGGTCTTAGAGCAATGAAAATTATTCACTTCACAATCAGAAGGAAATTCTGTGGAATTAAAGTTGGAGTATACTCTTGAATTGGATTTTATTCTCCAGAGCCCTAAAGTTAACCAGCTGGAATCATATTTAAAGGACCATTCTATTTAACCTTTGGAAATGAAGCATCTGCCTGTTAATGGAAAAACTACTTCTCATTGTAAAGATAGCACACAGTGTTCTTGGCTTCTCTGGCTTCCAGAAAAGGGAATTCACATATCTCCCTGTGTCCCTGCTATATCTTGAGCCCCCTGTGTCAACAAAACAGGCCAGATGGATAGCTAACTTTTTTAAAAAAATGAAAAGCAGAAGTACCAGCCCATCCTGAGAAGTATCAGGCAGGACAGGCTACTTAGACATATCTGCCTCTCAAGCAGTCTCAGGAGGCTTAGGAATTCGCAGTGAAGGGCCGATGCAACCAACCTCAAAGCCACGGTATTCAGACAAGAATCATCACACTCACCATGTACTTAGAAGTTCTGTTCTTCAAAAAGCATCAACAAAGTGTGATTTGGCAATTGATCGATTAATCAAATATTCCTCCTTGGCACCAATTCCTGCATTGAGGGACATTGTGAAGATAAGTCTATGCTTAAGCATACTATAACCCAACTGAAGAAACAGATGTGGGAGAACTAAGACCCCGGTCCATAGCACAAGGCATTGTTTAAGTCTCAGTGAGTTCATCAGCTCACAGCCAACAATACTAACCTACACTGAACACTTATTATATGCCAAGTACTTTACATGTATTTTCTCATTGAAATGTTCATGAGCCTATGAAATGAAACAGAAGCAATTACAGTCTCCATTTATTTTTTATTTTCTAGAATGGGAAAAGATCTCACACTCTCTCACCCAGGCTGGAGAGCGGGGGGGAACCATAACTCACCATAACCTTAAAATCCTGGGCTCAGATGATCCTCTTACCTCCTGAGTAGCAGAAACTAAAGGCATATGCCACCATGCCATTATTTTATTTTTTTTATTTTTTGTAGCGATGGGGGTCTCGCTATGTTACCCAGGCTGGTCTCAAACTCCTGGCCTCCAGCAATATTTCTTCCTTGGCCTCCCAAATGTTGGAATTATAGGCATGAGCCACCACACCCAGCCAATTGCAGTTCTTTAGAGAAGTTGAATAACATATCTAACATTACACAGTTAAAAAGCAGTTTCAAGTTCAAGTCTATCTGATTCTAAATCCCAGCCACAGAGCTGGGGCTTGCAGAGCTCAGGCAGAGGGAATGCTGGAGGCTGGCATAGGGAGGAGAGGCCTGATGAAGAAGGGGGCTCTGAGCTGGCTTTCCTGGGAACAACACTGAGAGGCCAGTGAAGGAGAAATGTCACTGCACAGCACTGTAGTGGAAAGAGGGTTGCAGGCAGAAGAGAGGGGAAAAGGGGAAAGGACAGGGTGAGGCAGCTGTCTGGTTACAGCCACTTTGGGGTGAGGGATGAGTAAAGATCTAGCTTGCAGGCTGCATAAACGTGCTCCACCTTCTTCTGTGAAAAAATGCCATAATCCTACATAGAAATCCTCCAATAGAAAGATTTGGAGAGGGAGCTGAGAGAGGGGTCAGCTCTCTGGGGGGAAAGGAGTCTGCCCTTTCCTTTGCCCTTCTTCTACCCTTCTCTTGGCCCCAGAGCAATATCCTAGACACTCCACCGCCTAGTTCATGTGGCCATCCCAAGTGTCTTTAGAGTGCTTCATCCCAGGAGAGGCAGCTTCGTGGCCCAGGGTTGTCTGATAGAGCCTGGCTGGCTCCAAGTGGGCCTCATCTCTATCTAGTCTAGTCTGTCTACTGGCTCTACGCTCTGAAGGTGGGGTCTGGGAGACGTGCCAGGCTGCCAGTTACCCTCCTAACCAATGGACAGCAAGCCTTGCAGGAAAGGTAGGAGCTAGTTCTGTGGCAGAAGGACAGTTTAGTCCTTAAGCTCCCTACCCTACTGTATATACATTTTTCTACCATTTGTCCTATGTACACTCTATCGCCTGTCATTCATTTATTCACTCATTAAGCAATGAATGCCCATGTCAAGCCATGCATTGTGCTATGTGATGGGGGTGACAGGGTCAAACAAGGTGTGGCCCCTAATCTCAGGAGCCTGATACTCTGCTATTGCTGGTAGGTACTGGTGGCAGATGGTCAGTCTACAGTAACTGGAATAATTGTTAGGGTGAACACAGGCCCAGAACACTCTATGGTATTCCAATAATTACACTGTAAGCTGCTTGTCTTGTTCACTCCTCTATCTCCAGTGTCCACCACAGTACCTGACACACAGTAAGTGTTTACTGAATTAAGTGAAGATCTTGGCAGGGCATGGTGACTAAATCTTATAATCTCAGCCCTTTGAGAGGCCAAGGTGGGATGAAAGCTTGAGGCTGGAAGTTCAAGAGAAGCCTGGGAAACATGGCAATTTTTTAAAAAGTTAGCCAGGCATTGGGGCATGTGCATGTAGTCCCAGCTACTGCCCAAGAGTTCAGTGTTGTAATGAACTATGATAGCACCATTACAATCAAGCATGAATGACAGAGCAAGACCTTATCTCTACTTAAAAATAAAAGGAAGCTCTTATTGGTGGAGAGCCCCAACTCTGCTTCTCCCCATTGGCCCTGAGCCTGACACTCAGACAAAAAGAATTAAAGAATACATGACAATTCTTCAGGTAGGTCGCAGCATGTTAGACTTTGGAGGAACCAAATAAAATAGTCTATGTCACCGCCATCCCCCCTCTGTCATCATGTCCCCATGGTCGGGGTCCTACATCCCGGATGCTCTTCTAAGAATACTCAGGTTAGTCAGTGTTCCTATTCAAGTTCACGAATACAGACCTTGACCCAGAACTTCCAGTTGAGATGTTTTTTTGTGCTTCCTGGAAGACCCTACCCCAGCTCACTTTGGAGAATAAGGGGCAAGAAGTCTGATGCCATCTGGGCTTTTTCTCCTGTGCACAAAAATCTACCACAAGAATTGGAATGCAAATCATTGAGGAGTAAATGGTTACAGAACTCCTACCAAGTCAAAAGGTGCTTGCTCCCCACCATCCTACTAGTCTGCCCTGATGCTAGAGCAGTGGTTCTCAATCTTTCTAATGCCTCCTAATGCCGCAGCCGTTTAATACAGTTCCTCATGTTGTGGTGACCCCCAACCATAAAATTCTTTTCATTGCTACTTCATAACTGTAATTTTGCTACTGTTATGGATCATAAAGTAAATATCTGATATGCAGGATGTTATTTTCATTGTTACAAAGGGGTTGTGACCTACAGGTTGAGAACTGCTGCACTAAAGGAATTCCTGTCTTCCTCAACTACTCCAGCATTGGGTATAGAAACAGCAATCTTGGCTTCTAGTTGAGTCTTCCTCATATGACTTGAGGCCACAGGGAAACACAGGCACTCTGGAAGAAGCTAAGAAAGATCACAAGTGAAGAGATCCACTGAGGAGGCTCAGAAGTGATGCTGCATTTGCGAGGACAGTGGCCCTTCAGGCAGAGCAGGCATCTGAACTGAAAGAAAAGTAGGGTGGTGTGAAAGGGCCCACAGAGGCGTGGAACACCTGCAAGGCACTCAGTAAGGTCCCAGTGCTGACCAGCCTCTCTACCTCTTTGGCCTAGTCTTGGAATATGCTGAAAGCCTCCCACCTGGGGAGGGGCAGTGTGGTTTTAGAACCAGTTTTCCTGATTCCTGAAGGTTTTTTTCTCATCACCCTGCCACTTCCCAGGGATCTGGGAAGTATGGATCTCATGGAAGAGCTCTTGGCTTGTCAAATCCTGGTAATCGCCCTTTCAGGGATGGCCCCTGTTTGCAAAGCAGGTCTGGGCCTTTCTGGTTCTGATGATGGGTGGCCTTTTTTAACCCTCCAATGCATATTGCCTCTCTGTCCCTGTGCATCCCTTTCTTGGGAAAGATGGCTTCAGTCTTCATGGCCACATGGGGCCTCAAGGTCATGGGAAGGAGTGATGGGCACTCCTGGGGCTGGGTCCAGCAGCAAACCTTCCAAGGACAGTGGGCACCATGTCTTGGCATCTGGGCATGCTGGTCCTTTTGTCCAAAGAGGACAGTGTGGGGGAAGAGGAGATGGAATCCAGAGACTTAAGAATTCCTGCTCTCCCCCTCAGTCTGACCCTTGATGTGGCCGTCTGGGCTGCAGCAATGCCCACGGGCACAACAGCGGGAAAAGGAGGGAGAGGCGGTTTGCTGTGAGCCCTGCCCAACCCTCCTCTGCAGGCTGTCTCCACTGGTTCCTCTCCCCCCTCTGCCCGCCTGTCCCTCCGGGCTGCTCGGGCGCCAACACTACTGTCCCCAACCCGCCCTGCCAGCCAGGCCAAGAGCAGTGTGACTCACAGAGCTGCCACCAGCCCACGGCTCGCCCAAGGCGTATAAAGGCTGCCCGGGCGGCAGGCGGTCGAACCCTGCCCTGCCCGGCCGGAGGTGCACAGAGCATGGCCCGAGGCGCAGAGCGAGGCGGCGGGGCGGTGGGCTGGGGGATGCGCGGCGCCCTGGCGGCCGTGGCGCTGCTTTCGGCGCTCAACGCGGCGGGCACGGTGTTCGCGCTGTGCCAGTGGCGCGGGCTGAGCGCGGCGCTGCGAGCCCTGGAGGCCCAGCGGGGCAGGGAGCAGCGCGAGGACAGCGCACTGCGCGCCTTCCTGGCCGAGCTGAGCCGCGCCCCGCGCCGGGCGCCCGCGCCACCCCCGGACCCCTCGAGCGCCGCGCGCAACAAGCGCAGCCACGGCGGGGAGCCCGCGCCGCACATCCGCGCGGAGAACCAGGACATGCTGATGATGATGACCTACTCCATGGTGCCGGTAGGCGGGGGCTCGGCTCCCGTGGCGCCCTCGCCGGGGCGGGTGGCGGGAGGTGAGGGGACAGTGCGCCTGCCGCCCTCTTCTCCTGGCGCCCGTCAGCTAGATGCAGCGGAGACTGGGCCCTGGGGATGAGTCTGACAGGCGTTGTCACTCTGGCAAGCACTTAACCTACTGGGGACTGTTTTCTCATCTGTTAAGTGGGGGAGGGGTGAAGGGATAAGTCTCTTTCCCTTGTGACACCGTTTGAGTCTGCAGGTAAATAAGGGATGTAGACAGTATCTCAGCCTAATTTCCTTCCCAATTTTTGACACAAGTTTTCCTGTGAAAATTTCCTCCTGATGCGAACAGAGCCACTCACCTGTGTCTGGGGCCCTCTGAGAGGATGGAGATGGCTTTTCTAAACAAGTGCAGACTTCTTCAATCTCGTCAAAGGATTCTTCCTTGCCCTAATCTAGTGGTCTGGGTTTTCACCTGGCCTTGGCTCATCCCCCAAGAAATTGCTGGCCTAATTGTCTCTGATTAATTGAAGACATTTAACCCTAATTTCATTGTCCACTTGGGACCTCGATGCTGAGAAAGTTGTTCCTGGGTCTCAAGCGGTTCCAAATGGGAGAAATCAGTACAGAGCCTTTTTTTTTTTTAATGCGATGTCAAAGCTGAGGTTCCTAATACGGGGCCTGCGGATTGCTCTCCACATGGGCCCCAGGGAGTGAGTGGAACTCCAGGAATTGCCGGCGTGTAGGCCTGTACTCATGCGGACTCTGGCACCTGGAGAAGGGTCCCAAGTTTTTCACTGGAGCTTCAAGGGGCCCCATTGGGTGCTTTCCCCCAAAGCTCTAAAAAATCCTACTTTAGAGAAAGTCTTAAAACAAAGCCTCAAAAGTTTTTTTTCCCCCAATGTTAAGTTTCTTTGCTGTTGCTGATTTTAACTCAATAATTATTTAGCAGATACATTTGGATCACATTGCAGCTCCCCATTCCATCATCTGTGACATCACATTGCAGCTCCCCATTCCATCATCTATGACAATTGCTGTGGTCTCATTTCACTTTGCAGTTAGGAAGATTTCAGTTTGGTCATCTCAAGGCAAATATGAGCCATACTTCAGAATCCTAGGGATTTGAAGATAAATCTACTTAAAGCCTCCGCTATCATAGAAGCTTTTAAATATCTTACTTAGACAAGCTGAAATGCTTTTAAAAGTACATGAAAGTACTACACACTCAAAATCAGCTTTTGAGTGAGATCAACTTTTCCATTTCTGGCTTCATTTTTTTACTGATCTTATTTAAAAATCTGGACCTAAGCAAAAATTGAAAAAATGAAAACACTGTAAAATGAAGAACTCTCCTCAGGGAATTTGCTTGTCCTCACTCTCAGTTCTATCCCCTGCATATTAAGGGTTTTTTGAAACCCTCAAAGAGGAATATATCTGAGCATCAACATTTTATATTTTTAATCCTGCTTTTATAGTAGAAGCTTTTTGTATCCAAATTCTACCCTGTTGGGTCATTAACGAATTGAATAGAGATATTCATTTCTGTGACAATCTGAAAACTAGCTTTAACTCAAAGTGACATGGCAGTGCCACCCCCAGCTCTATTACAGGCCAGAGCGCAGACACATCACATTTGTCTGGCTGAAAGCTTTTATAAATCACCAACTCTTCCCTCACCTATAGTGGGTATGTTTTGGCCTATTAAAGTCAGTGAGGAAATTTCCATGGGGATAGGAGAAGGCAACCATCATACTACTCACTCTTGGGAGTAGTTCTCAAATAGTAGGCTTAGGAATCACCTGTAAGTCCATAAAAATGCAAATTTCAGGACCCTGCTATCATACCTATAGAATCATCTCAAGAATCTGCTTTCTTGAGAAGGCCAGACCCCATTCTCCCACCCTCCCATATCCTTGGTGAGTTTGATGCAGGTGATCCAGGCACCTGACCAGGTTAAGAAACACTTCTCTAGAACACTCCCATGTCTAACTTTATTGTGTATGTGAATATCTGTTAAAATGCAGATTCTGATTCAGAAAGTCTAAGGTGGGGCCTAAGAGCCTGCATTTCTAACAAACTCCCGCTGATACCAATGCTACTGGTCTGAAGACCACAGTTTGAGTAGCAAGGCTCTAGGGCATTGTCTGCAATCATCTAGAGATCTTTAAAAATTACTGATGCCTGAACCTCATCACTAGAGATCCTGCAATTGATTGGTTTGGGGTGCACCCTCGGGGTGGGTGCTCACTCACCAGCAGGAAAGACCTTGGCCTGACTTTCTAATGATAAAGTTCTAGTGGGAAGCACTGCACTCTCACCGGGCCTCTGTCAAGGCCTTTACTTCTAGCAGAGGAACCCAATTTGTTACTAAAAGTCTTTTTACTTTATTCTATCAATATTCTCATCATTCATCTTCACAATTTTTCTTACCTTTACTCTCTGCTTTTCTCAGAACAGAGAATTATTCACATGAGGGAACAGTTGTAAGAGCGATTAGTGAGCACCTCCCGTGGAGCAGTTGTTGAGAGAATGATCTAGTCTATATCATGGGGGGTGCACACTTCTTGTGGCTAAAGTCTGCGTCTTCCTGTGGCCTTTTTATGTAGCAGCAGCTCTCGAATGGGAGTGAGATCAGAGGTCCTCACCCTAAGGTTCCATGACCTTAGAGCTTCAGGAACAAAGAAGTAAATTCTTATGCCCATATTGTCAGCATTTCACAAAGCCTTCCAGTATTTTTCACTTATCCAAGACAAGCCTCCTCAAGCTAACACTTCAGGTTTCCATGCTTTGGGCTGAAAGTACACCAGCTCAGCATGGTAATTCTGATTGGCACTCTAGCCAGGACCTCTTAGCAGCTGTAAACAACTTTGTTAAAAAAGCACACTAATTAATTATTACTTACGTACAATTAATTTAGTACGGCCAGGGAATTAAATCTTTAAAAGCACGTGAGCGCTTTGGAGGAAAAGTAATAAAAGGGCCTAGGTGGGGTATGTACTATTCGAACTAGGCCAGTAACGGGAACAGGGACCCGGTGAGAGGCAGGAAAGAGAGAAAAGTTGGCCCATTTGCCACTAACTCCTACGGGAAATGGTATTTCTGTTTAGCATCCCTTTTTTTCCTGACCTCTCATATTCTGACTTCTCTCTCATCCCACTGTTTCTATGGCACCTTTATTGATGTTTTGGAACTTGCCCCAAATCTAGGGTCAAGCTCTCAGAGGAGTTTCATAAACATCAAACTAAACAGCCTTCAGGCAGATAAAATGCACCAAGACTGGAGATTATGTATCCGTGATAGTTGTTGTCCTTGGAAACCATATACGTTTCTACACGAAAACGTCCTTGGCGCCTCTCTAACAAGAAAATCAGTCTGGCTATTTTAAAGTAGGGGTCGCAAATTCAAATGATTTATTCAAGGAAGACAAATATGATTCCATCATTGTCAATTGCTGAAAAGGCATTTGGCAACATTTAACACCTATGCTTGATTTTTAAAATGGGCAATAAAATGGAAATCCATGGATTCTTCCTTAATATGTTAAAATACAATTTATATCTCTCACCCCCAAACCCAGCTTTCCACTTAACAGACAAACCCGGGAGATAGTCGTACTAAAATCGGTATTAAGACAGGGGTGTCATTGTTATCTCGGCTATCTCAGATTGTACTAGAACTGGTCAGAGCAACTGCGTAAGGAAGAGTGGCTAAAAATGTTAGGAAGTGAAAGTCTGACTATATTCAGATCATATGATTCTATACCTGGAAGACCCAAGAGAAACTATTGATAACCTACTATTAATAATAACAGAATTCAGTGAGAAGCAAGATATAAAAATATGAGAAATCAATAGACCTCTCCTGTCCAAACTATTTGTTGAAGGTATCATGGAAGAAGAGGTGTGTAAAACTTGTGTATCTTTATCTTTCCTGTTAAGAAAGGTGTAAGGGACCACGCTTAGAGATCACAAAGGATTTAAACAAATGGGAAAAGTAACATGTTTTTGGATAGGAAACTTAGCATCATAATGAATTGATTCTTCTTAAGTCAGTTTAAAAATCTGATGCCACTCCAACATAAAAATGTCAGTAGTTTTGTTTTTTTGTTTTTTTTTTCTTTCCGGGACTCCATAAACTGATTAAAAATTTTACAAGGAAAAATGAGCATGTGTAGCAATGAAATTGCTGAAAAAGAAGAGTGAGGAGAAGGACTAGTTCTATGAGATACTGAAGTGTACTTAAAGGCTGAGTAATTAAAATAGAGTGGGATGTGAATAGATGAATGGACAGAGTTGAAGGTCCAGAAATAATCCCAAGTACTTAAGGCACTTTAGTGCTCATGGCATAAGCACTTATGGCATTTTGTCAATGGGGGAAGAATGGACTTACTAAATGATATTGAGACAATAAGCCGGCCGTCTAGAAAAAGGTAAGAATTGAGAAAGGATAGTTTCATTCTCATAATGTGTACCTTCACAAACAGTAAATGAATCAAATGACTATTTACATTTTTTAATGAAACTACAATTACTAAAAAAGATGAGCAAGTCCATTTTTAATCTCAGAATTGGGAAGGCCTTTCTTTCAATCTATAACTCAAAAGCTAGAAGTAAACAATAAATAAATAAATGTGTCTACATTTTTAAAAACACACGAAACAACAAAATTCCTCTACATGCCAGATAACAAAAACACTCTAAACAAAACCGAAAGATAAATGACAAACTGGAAATAAGTATTTGCCACATGTATCATAGATACATAATCTTTCTATATGTTTAATGCTCTTAAAAGTTGATTAGAAAAAAGAATTTAGTAGAGAAATCCACAACAGAAATAAGAATCCAATAGGAAAATGAAACGGTTCTCAGAAAAAGAAATACAAACATCTCTTAGTAGACACAAGGGAAAAGATCTCTTAAATTTTTAAATGCACATTACAACTACCCTAAATATAATTTTCAGAAGAATAAAACTGCAAGTTTGATGGCACAGTCTATG